TGTATCTCGAGCACGTTCTTTGTAAACATCAGAATCTAACCTTGTGATGTGTTTGATGCCAAATGTTGATCAGCATCAATTTGATATTTAAGCCATACAAGCCATGTGTATGAGCTAATGTCAGCATGAATCAGACATACAGCGGCAAGTCACCCAAAACTTGCTTTCACTCTTACTTTCATAATTTGTGGCCCAATATGTCCTCATAATTGTGTTGTAGTTTTTTGTGAAAATATATTTCAGTTTTTGAGAAACTATTTTTTCGTTCGACCAAATATGCAAATTTTCACCGTGAATATTACCTGAGTTGTGTGACTTCATGTAACCAATAAACTTGACCTCCGGTATTTCTGTCAACATAATCCTTTGTTTTATCATCTAAACTTAATCTCCTGTCAATATTGAAGCTGGTAAAGTAATATTTATTTTTTGGTGAATATTTTTGTTCGACATACTTTTCCTATATCGAATAGTAACATCAAAACAAAGACAGTTTTAACAATGACCGATATGACAGAATCTACTGAGCTTCGAGTTTTTAAAAGACAAAAGGATGGTTAATAAGTTATTGTAAAAATTTCCTTGTGTATTTGTGTTGTTCTATCTTGAGACGAACTCAAAGTCCGGCAAAATTTACTTGCTAGCGACTGTGAAATATAGATGGTGTGCCTACTTGTCGCCACCATTTACTGGCATAAATCACTACAATCTGTAAAAAATCTAATATAACACTCTTAACTTGTTTATTTATGATTTCATTAGCTGTTTCGATTATTATTTAACGCCTGGGTATTACGTTTTGACAGGAGCCCAGGTTTTGCGTTGTGTTTTCCCCTCCCCAATTTACATCATAAGCTAGTCACGCCATAATTTATACTGACACAAATGAATATTTAACCTGTATGGAGACTTTTGTTTTTGTTGAATTGAAGATAGAATGAACGAAAAAAATCCTTTCTCAAAAACTAACATGTATTTTCACAAAAAACTACACCAAAATTATTAGGACATATTGGGCTACAAATTATAAAAGTAAGAGGAAGCAAGTTTTGGGTGACTTGCCGCTGCGATAGATGCTGACATCCTCTCTTAAGTGCCGCTAACCTCAATTTTTCTTCATATAATAAATCTCATTGTTTTCAAGATAAAAAAAGTCGAAAATTATCGCATCTGGCAGCCAAGGAGTTAATTTGCTTCTGTCATACGTGCAAGTCAAGTCAAAAAGGGTCAATATAAAAATGAATATTGTCGACTTCAGTTACATACCTTGCTGATTATTTCAGAAAAGAGGTTGTATAGTAGCT